GCCGTACAACTGAACGTCAGTCTGTCAATACTTTCTTGTGGAGATTTTTTAACCCGAATTGATTTTTCCATACGTTTTAAAAAATATTTCATATAGACCTTGTCCTGACAATTACAAACTGTGCGCTTACATACATTTGACAATTGATTTTTATTTATATAGAAGACTAGTAGTACCCGCGGCTTCGCTCGCGTCCAAACTTCCAATAGCTAACAAAATTCACAGGATCACCCGCTGGGTTAATCTGAGGATTATCTGAAAATTTCTTCAAAATCGCTCTAGCTGTTTTGGAGTCCATAGGAAACATACATACACACAACGATTTTTATTTTATATGATCAATAATTTCATTTTATTTATTGTTCGGAAAATGGAGTCTTTTATGAAAATTTAGTGATACACCGACTGCGGCGGCACCTACCAGATCCATTTGTGAATTCAAACCTTGCAGGGTTGCACCTTGCAACCTTGCAACTCGAACATACACAAAAATATCATTAAAATCGTCCCTGCCGTTTAGGAGATGATCAGTGGCACAACGACTGCTGCGCCACCTACGGGGTTCAAAGGTGTTTTCAAATCATCCAGGAGCCCATTGAAATATACACACAAAATTTTATCCAAATTGGTTTAGCCATAGCACGTACACAAAAATTATATACCTATATTAAGATAGATAGATATAATTATTAAATTAATATAAATATTGTAATTATTAAATTAATTCTGAAAATCTCATACACTGTTGGTCTGGCATATTCTCATTACACTATTAGAAAATGCTTAATCAGTAATCCAGTCTAGCTTTGAATATAGGTAATTAGAATTTATAACATGTTTTATCTATGGGGCATTTCACGTGAAGCGGACAACGAAAATAAAGTGAGGTTGTGAAAATTGTTCATACTCTGGTCAGATATAGTTCTAGTGGACATGGATGGGCAAATACATTATTTTTTTCATATGATGCTATATTGCCGAGTTATGAGCTTTTAAAAATTTACGAAGTATGAAATCCGTACTTTTTGAATGCTTCTTATTAGTATCAATCAATTTGTAAAAATATCTAAAACATATCGTTTCTGAAAGTTAAAAGGATGCAGTTTTTAATTTTTTTATCGAATTACAAATTTGTTTCTTTTTACATATAGTAAACCGGAAGTGAAGATTTCAAATTGATGTTTGAGTAACTTCAACATAATTTTTTTTCAATATTTTAACTTTGAATTAAAGCTTCGAATATCTTAATTCTTCACAAAAAAATTATAACGTGATCGCCAATAGTTTAGGACTTAGAGCATATTAAGTACATACACATCGCACTATTAAGTACATATACCCAACAGTCTTAATAAAATGAAACTTTAAAAATGAAGTGTAATTTTTCTTAGCTTTTCATGGAAAAGCTGGCAAAGTGGATTCAAGAGTTATTTACATGTCCAAGACTCTTTCTCAACTTGCGCGTCGTAATCAAAACAAAACTTAGACACTTTTTAATATCGTATTTTATTAATGCAATAGAAATTTATATTAAATTTGCAAATATTGCATAAGAAAATCGTTCCTCTCGATACGTAAGCTTTTCTAAATGCTAATATGGAAGGGAATAGGTACATTTCATACATATATGTATTAACTATTGTAAAAATTGTGCATTACCTCGTTAGATATTCAAACGCGTTTCATCGCTCACTTTTATATCAAACAGTTTGTTTCTTTTCATATTTCTGCGCCTAATTTAGGAAAATTTTACTTCGAAAACTTTTTCGTGGAATGAAAATCTTTTCCATCCATTGTAGTTGAAGTAGGTAAACACTTATATCTAACTGAGATATATGAGATAATACATTATAGATTTTGTGGAAAGCCATAACTTAAATTTCTATTAATCCTTATTGCATCCAATCTATTTGGAACCGATTGTGTCTTATAATATTAAGTGAGCTATTGTTGTATATAAAAAATATTTCATGTACCTAACTCAGTAACGGCTCTAACGATTTGGATTAAATGTTGTATTTAGATAAGGTTGTATATATATAGGTAAGGTAGCATACATATAGGTAGTAAGTAGGTAAGTCTTTTTTTGAAAATAACGCAATTTTTATAACTTCAAGGAACGCCGATCAAAGCTCGATCGTAGGTGCAGGTAGGTTAACCTACTTCTTTATAAAGCCTTATAAATATAAAGCCTTAATGGGTTCAGTGATTTGAATTATCTAAAGAAAAGCTAAATATTTATTTAGCTGTTGCTTTCATGTTATTATAAAAGGATATAGACATGGGTAGAGCTTTTACTATGTTTATTATGAAGTAGAAAGTGCAATAAATATTTATGATTAAATAACTAGTGAACTAGTTGGGCATTAAAAATGTATTCGAAGTTTTTAGGAGGACAGTTGTATTAACAGACTCTACATTTATATTTTTTTACTAACCATTAAGAAACCAATGTAGTGCTTTTGGCGAATAGGTACTGTCACTTTTTAATAAAACTATGTGAAAACTTGATTAAATATAACTTTTGTGGTATTTTTAAATTATTAAAAAATAAAAGTATCTTTTAAAAAAAATCGCGGATTTATTTTGATTTTTGGTAGCCTACATTTCAAATGGTTTACAGCTACTGAGTGGCTCCCGTGACCACGATTGCTTGAAAAACTAGTTTTATTTAAAATTAGCGACTCACACTCGCTCCGCTTGGGTTCGCCCCTATATACGTTTTAACGGTTAGTATAGATTTCTCAGAGATGAGAAGTTTTCCCGCAGTAAAAAGTACCCGATATGTTGAGCCGAATAACCAGTTATCATCATACCAAATTTTATCAAAATCTTAGTGGTTCTCTCTAGTGGTTTTCTCGCGATGCGTTCTCAGACAGACAAAAATTCTAAAAACTATAGATTCGGCCTCTGTGTCGATAATAATTACTATTTTAATAACTTTTTTCAAAAAATATTTAATGTACAGATTCGACTCAGAATTTTAGATGTCAAATATTCGCATTTTAAATTAAAATTTTAAATTAATCAATAAGTATATCTTTTTTATGGATAAGCAATTATTATTTTCTCAGGATTAGGTACGCACGGTTAGCATACCCGATAGGTGCTTAATCAAACTTAAATAACACTTTAATTGATAGTCTTTTTAAACATATTTATTTCAGTGCCAGCTTTAACTGTAAGGATTATAATATACTTATAGGTTTTGAGAAACCTTTTTTAGGGTTCCGTACCCGAAGGGTACTAACGGCATCCTATTATTACCCTCCGCTGTCCGTCCGTCCGTCTGTCAGAGGGCTGAATCTCTTATGAAGCATAATAGGTAGAGACTTGAAATTTCCACAGAGTAGTTCTATTGCCGCTATAACAATAAATAATAAAAATAAACAAATAAAAATACAAGAAACATTTTTTTAACGTTTGTAACCGATCATCGAAGTTAATATATGGAAAAGGTGCCATGAACGTGACAATTTTTTTTAGTGTAAGATTTGGAGAAATACCTAAATGAGCCTACCTTACCTTTTGTATATAATGTAACTATATATATTCATCTTTCAAAATATATACTAAAAACTTTTTATAAGAAATAGGTACCTATAAATAGGTAGATTGTGTTGTATGTATTTAGTTGAATACACTGTAGGTACCTACCTAATGTAAAAAACTTCTTTATTAATTTTGTATTATTGTAGAGTCATCTGCATATTTGGTATAGGTACTTACGAATAAAGGCACGCTTTTACTTCATTTAGGCTCTAACGACTTCAATTAAATATATTATGGTTCTGATTTCTCACTGAAAACTCATCTTTATTTGAATAAAAATGGCCTCTAGCAATCAGGGGTGAAGTAGGTTTATGTTAGTGAAAGAAAATTAAATTTTCAATTCTAAATACAAGACAATTCTCTCATTTTACGTGGGTATGTATAGGTTTTTAATGTGTCATAATTATAAATGAAAGTTTAGGAAAATACATACGAACTAGCATTGCCCGCGGCTCCGCCCTCGTTCAGATGACCAAAAACCAAATTCTTGGTTTTTACATATTAGTATACTCTTACATTGCAGTTTTTGTATTATTTAATCAGAAATGGGACATTTTCTGCGGTAAACAGTATCCTATATATGTTGACCCGGATAATCAGCTATCACCATACCAAATTTCATCAAAATCCCTCCAGTAGTTTTTCTGTGATGCGGTAACAGACCGACAGATTGATAGACAAAAATTCTAAAAACTATAGATTCGGCCGCTGTATCGATAACAATGTTTTTTTCAATAAGATTTTCCGAAAAATATTTAATGTACAGATTCGGCTTAGTTACAATTATATGATACCTACCTATAGATAGAATTTAAAAAAACTAATTAATTTAAAAACATTTTTTATTGATAACATCAATTTATCTAGGTACTTATATAAAAATGATAAATAAATAAATATAAATAAAAAAAAGAAAATCGGTGGACAAATAGAGGAGAAAAGGCACTGACCTATTTTATCTTTGCCTATTTACCTATGGCTATAGGTACCTAGATAGAAAGTTGTTTACTATAAGTACACCTATAGCAAATAAGGTAGAGCAATAACTATAATTTTAACATTTATGATTTAAATAAATAGGTACATTGAAGTAACAAAGTGGCCTCTCTGCTATTAACATTTTGAGAATTATTATAGAAGGTTATAACCTTCTAACTTCTTTTGCTCTGCTCAATTTATAAGTACCTACCTATTAGCTGCGCTTCAAATCTTTCATTTCTTTAATAATATTTATTTACCTAATATACTGCAATATCATGAAAGCCACTTGAAGTATATAATAAATATATACAACACATATGACCATAAACTACTGCCAACACTGTCAGTGCCATAAACTAACTTTATGGAAACAATTAACAAGCACACTTTCGCATTAAAAATAAAAATATACCTACCTATGGTATATTGGTATGATAGATTAATTAAAAAGGTACTTATATAAAAATATGATGATAAGTTTCGAAGTCTCAATTATAACTGTTGGTTATAGAACAGGTTTACGTATGGTGTATCTAAGGCAACGTAATAAGTACCTACCATACACGTTACCATATCAGTTTAGTAGTAGAATGTTGAAACAAGTTTCTTTTTTATTTTTCTTATTTATATGCTATTTAATTAATTTCATTAGAAATTTTTTTTTCCAAAAAGTTTCAATTTGAAGACAATTATTAATTGGTTAATTTATGATTTAACATAATTTTTAATGCCAACAGAATATTTATAGGTACATAGGTAGGTATGTACCTACCTATTTGTCAACGTAAAACAACAATTCTCGATAGCCTAACAGTTAAAGAGATAGAGTTCCTTCTTTTTTACAGTTCCTTAATGTCCAAAGAGTATTTTGTTAAAACATTTTAAAGTAAATATTATAATAGTCTGTCATGTTATTGTAATTTTTAATTGTTATATAAAAATCAAGGTATAAGTAATAAGAATTTCACGCCGTGCTTCTCACACTGTATTATTCTATATATTGTAGTATTCTACTATGTATACATTTTGTGCCATCATTGCAAATTTTCGTAAATAAAAAAAAGTCTAAAATAAAAGCAATAGTAAAAAAGGCATAATATACTATATAGAAAAGCTAGCAAGTGGACATAGTATTGTAGTAGGCGTACTGAGCGCGGGCGTGCGCGGGCGCCGCGGTCGATGCGGGGCGAAGCGCGGGGGACGGGGCGTGGCGAGGGGCGGCGCGCGGCGGCCATTCGCTTGCACCTCGCACCGCCCTCTGCCCCGCCCCCCGCGCCCCACCGCGCCCCGCGCCGCCCCGCGTCCGACGATGCCGCTCAGTGCTTCGCGAGTCGTCGCCCGCGGTGCATGTGTTGTGCGCTTCATTCCTCTCGCGCTACGTTGCAGATGCGAGCGCGCCGCCGCTAGAGCGATGCCGGCCGAGGAGGAACCCGCGGCCATGGACAGCCGGGACGCTGCCGATGGCTCCCCTCAGCAATTTTGCTTACGATGGAACAACTACCAGACCAATCTTGCCACCTGCTTCGATCAACTGCTCCAGACCGAATCTTTCGTGGACGTGACGCTGGCGTGCGAAGGTCAGAGCCTGAAGGCGCACAAAGTGGTGCTGTCCGCGTGCAGCCCCTACTTCCAAACCCTGTTCATGGACAACCCCTGCCGGCACCCGATAATAATAATGCGCGACATAAAGTACTGCGATTTGAAGGCGGTAGTGGATTTCATGTACCGCGGAGAGATCAATGTGTCGCAGGACCAGATCACGGCACTGCTTAAGGTTGCGGAGACGTTGAAGATCAGAGGGTTGACAGACGTGAGTGGGGAGCACGCGGTGTTGAGAGCCGGAGGTGGTTTGGAGGCTCGGGCTGGTAAGAGACCAGGCAGTCGTGAGAGCGAAGCAGGTGGTACGGTGGCTAAGGCGCGTCGACGGTCGGCGGAACGCAGCCCGGGCAGCGAGCGCGTGTCGCCCGCAGGCCCGCCCGCTGACTTGCTGCAGCCCGATGCGCCCGCGCCGCCGGCCCTGCACCCGGACGACGTGGACATCCGCCCAGGCATTGCCGAAATGATCCGCGAGGAGGAACGGGTGAGTGCAGCCTATATACCTCAGCTAAGCCAATATACACTTTTTTACACATTTAATACACTAGCCTGATCTATACACCCTAGCTTACTAACGCTTCTCTACTCTCCGCTTCTTCAACAAACTTCTGCCGCCCCCTTTACTCCCACACACACTTTTCGTAAACTTTCCTCTCCGTTTTGCTTGTAACTTTAGCAGCAATTATTATTGTTTAGTCAATTAGTGCAATTATTCTCTACTTGCTTATTATCGTCATATTACATTTACTTTTTTCATTTAACTAAGTAGGTAGGTACGAGTATATAGTAACCAAATAGTTAGAAAATTTCTATAAAAAAATATATTATATTCTTGGTAGAACGTGCGTTAAGAGGCAATAATTTGTTTTAGGTGTAAATAATAAGAAGATCGGGAGTCAATTTAAATACTTAAGATAACTATTGAAGGTTCTGTATTTATTGACGAGTATAAACATTGAATTTTCGACTCTAATTGTAGCAACACAAGGTTCTCAATGCCCCGGTTAAGTAGCTAAGGAGCTCAGCTGTTCGGAGATACGATATAACATTGTTTCGCCCCTCATGAGATGCCAAAGATCTATAAATTTTTCTGAACTTGGATGTGGTATTATATAGATATTATATTTAATATATTAAAAACGTTTAGATCGAGTTACCTTTTTGTTGAAAATTTTATTTTTAAATGTGATATAAAAGTTAAGTTATAAACGAAAATTAGATTTATTTTAATCGGTTCCTAGAAAAATATTTAACAATATTTTGATAAATTTATTAAGCTTACCTAAAGTTTATTTATTTACTTATTTATATATCTACCTAATTAAAAATAATTGCATAATACTATGAAAATATCTACAATTTATATAATTTATTTACTCACTTTACATACTTTACTTAAATATAATAAAGAGTATTACTTATAAATAAATATTATTATTTTTATTAAATAATGCCTTAAGAGCATTGCATTCACATTCACGTATTACAATAAAAAAGAAAAAATATTATTAAATATTACGAGTTTAACCAAATATTATTTAATTCGCATGTTTTGAACACTAAATGCACATGAATAGTAAATGTACAAAATAATAAAAACTTTAATCTTATTAATTAATCAATAACAATTAATAACGTCGTTTCATGGCATTATCGCTTATGCCATTTAACAATTTTACGTGCTTACAAATCTTTTAACTTAGGTAGGTACAGCCAATATTTAGGAAGTCGTTCTGCAAAATTATTAATAACGTATGGTAGGTAATAATTATTAAGTATCTGTTAGCTCAAATCCTTTTTTTAGATATTTACATAGACCTAGTTTAATTTTTCTCCATCCATTCATTTTTTATGCCTCTATATACAAATCTGTATTAAATAGGTCATTAAAGGATCAAAACTCTACATTGCCTTAGGTAGAGCAAGTATTAAATCAATAGAGTTTTAACAAAATATTCCATATATTGTTAATATTAAACTTAAACTATTAAATAAATTGAGAGGATTCGGAGAATAAATTGTTGTATAATAAAATTTAAATCAGTATGTTTGTGGTGTTCATATTATATTATACTGTTTTCGCCCTATTGTTCTTGAATGTTGTCGGTGAGAGTAATTTAGTATATGCGAACTAAAACTGGGTCTTTCTTGTAACAAAAGGATATTGTTCTGCCACAATTAGCATTGCAATAAGCATAGATAAGTGAATGTTTGTGCTATTGAGTTTAAAATTAACAACATTTCGAAAAATACTTAAGTAACAATCGCTTATTATCGCTGTTTTAAACTTTTGTATTTTATGCTTTTCTTTGTATTACACTCTCAATGTATTGTTGAATTCCAATAGGTACATATTGCGAGTATAAGTGCTCGCGTGCGACTTCGCTTGTGATGTGCCTAATACTAATTTCTAATAACGAAATAAAAATATGATTTTTTCTTATATTTCAACATTAAAATAGCTGTACCTACGTAAATATTAGGTGGATAAAAATAAGCAACTGTAGGAAATTGTTAATTTAATTTATTTTGTTCTAAATATTATCTAATGCTATATTCGAAAACGATAAAGCCAGTTTCCCTAATTGCATTCTATTCTATTTTCCGTCAGGATAGCTAATGGTCTTTAGAAAGAGTTGTAATTAAGATTTCAGTTACTTTGCATTTATAAGTAGTACCTATGTACGTGTTGAATAAAAACCTCTGCGAGTCTTTGCTGTCGCCGGCTCAGTGAACGATAAACGTATTACTGTTCTCTTTCATAAGGAAGATAGGAGCGATGGTTAGTGGGTTTATAAGACATGAAAAATTTTAAGTTACGTGTTATGTATTTACTTTAAAATTCTAAATAAAATCTTAGGTAATTATTAAAGCTAAAAATGTAACACATGGTTTTTCAGAGAGATATCTCTCAGTAATGATAATAACCTATTATAATGAGAGATATCTCTCTGTAATCATCATAAATATAGTTGATTTCAAAAGAATATGACAATCTTATAATTTACATCTGTTCGTTTACAAGTAAAAAAACGGCGCTAATCTCATTACATTGATAGCATTTATAAAGTACAAACATAACAAACGTACATACATATGGTTTACTTTATATAGGTACACAGAAGCAACCGGTTACGTTGTAATTGGTTAATCAATTCATAACCTCTTCCTTAATATTCCTCTTCGCCGTTAATAAAACCAACATGTTATTAAAGACGTGCTAAAAACTTTTTATTTTCTTTTAAAGACTGTTGAAAAGTTGTTGCACTATAAAATTTAAAATTTTATCACCTCACTCGATATGGTTGAAGTGTATTTCTTTATAAGAAATATTATTATTTTATCATTAGGTGATATTTGTCGCCAATAAATTATTTATCTACTATATTTTATTATACCTACTTAGAAGTAAATTTCAAGAGTGATTTAAAAATAGTATACGACCCTATATTGAGTCCCTATACCTATGACTAAGTAGACATTAACAATGAGAACAAAAATAACCGCATAGGTATATCAGTTGATTTCTTAAACGGCTGTACTGATTTTTATAAAGCTTTTACCAGTGGAAAGAGGATTCAAATAAAAGTGATAGGTATAAGATTTTTATCGCTTTAACACGTACCTAAGTAGTAGTAAGTGAATGAAATCTTAGTTGCAATGTTTCATAATTACCTACATCAAGGTTATTTTTACCATTATTACGTATTCTTCGGAAACTTTAACGAAAAATCGTAAATATTAAAATACCTAGTGATATCAATAATAACCTTAATAGCATCAGACTTCTGTATCAGTGTGAACTAAGGCTTTGCCAATGCACACTTTTTGCGATGCCGACTTCTGCAAATTCTTGGAGAGATAAAAAAAATAAAAAACTTTGCAACATCGTTTCTTACTTCAATAACGCATTATTACTAATTCTAATTTAATGTTTAAAGTATATTTACTGACTAGCGACTCACCGCTTTGCTCGGGTCTGCACCTAGTTACGTTTTAACGTTTAGTATAGATTTCTCAGAGAATAGATATTTTCCCGCAACAAAAAGTGTTTTATATGTTGACCCGGATAACCACCAGCTATCATCATACCAAATTTCATCAAAATCTGTACAGTGGTTTTCTCGTGATGCGTCCCAGACAGACAGGCAGACAAAAATTCTGAATACTATTGATTCGGCCTCTTTATCGATAATAATGACTATTTCAATAATATTTACTGAAAAATAATTAATGTACAGATTCGAATTCAGTTACAATTTTATTAGGTAGGTATATATAGGTATGTGTAGATTAGTATACACATTATTTTAGATTTCATTTCTTAATTTTCTCTATATGTAATAATGACTCATATAACATAAATAAAAAAATAGTGTGATAGTACCTAAAACATTTTCGACAGTAACTAAAACGTTTTCGAGTTAAAATGTATCGAAATATACAGTTCACTGTATATTGTACAGCGTACGCTATAACATGTTGCTCCCGTCCCGACAGACTTCGTCGCTTGTCTCATTTAGCTTCAACTTAGGGCGGTTTAGGTGGGAGTTTAAAGGCTAAAATGGTAACCTAGGGGCTTGGCTTTACAGTGTCAACAATACTTCCAATTCACCTCTCTAGATAGAATTGATATCGTGTTACAACTTAAATGTAATTAAGAAATATAACATTCATTTCGATTGTGTTTACTTAGAGATGATTGAATAATGTTTACTTCAATTTATATTATACATAAAGTTACTTTATTTATTATTAATATATAGGTACCTAATTAATTAAAATTAGTTAATTGACAAAATGAAATATCTAAAATCGAACATGACATTTGCAGCTAAAAATCTTTTTGGTAACAATAAAAGTCTTAAAAAGAACTTAATAAATGTTTTAAACATTTTATATGCAACTCAAATTTAATAATACCCACAAACAAAGTCTTTTGTAAAGCTTATTCTCGTTGGAAGCCTTTTACTTAATATTATTAAACAGCACGCAATAATAGCAACTACATCGCGGCAGTAAACGTTATAAAACATATACACACGTATAAAAATAATAAAATAAACAATAGTTCATTAGTAGAGCTTTATAAGCGTGAAAGAACATGTGCGACACGTATTTCAATTAACGTGCGTAATTAAAAAAGTAAGAAAAAATATAGTATTAGGCCAATGAATAATTTACGCGGCCGATAAGCTATAGTATATATAGTCCGTTCGATTAATTCAACGTCTCTGATAAAAGTTTTATTGCATCCAACTTAAGTCTATTTTAGTTTTTACGAGATTATTAGCGGACCTTATTCGATGTAACGCTTGCCACTAGAAATCAGTACCTACGTAAGTGGCCTATGTAACTCACTGCTTTCGAAAATGTAAACAAAAAAAACTCCTTATGTGTATAAACTAATATCATAAAGGTGAAAGTTTGTTAGGATGGATGGATGTTGGTTTCTCTTAAACGCCAGAACAGCTGAACGGATCTGGATACAATTTGCACAGAGATAGATTATAGTCTGGAATAGCACATAGGTTTTATCCCGGAAAAATGTACGCTTCCCGTGGGATGGATTTGTTTTTGTCTAGGGACGAACCCGAAGCAAATGGAGGGTGAGTCGCTAGTATTTTAAAGTCTACATCATCTACACTATTCTCAAAACACTAGTATTCTAGATATGCAATTGTATCTATTAGTAGATAAGTAATCTGTAGCGAGATTAATTTTTTCTCTACCACTTAGATATTATTTCTAGCGATGATTCCTATATATCACGGATAATGGAATTTAGACGCTTCTCGTTAAGATAAAAAACATAATGATGTAAGCGCGAATTCTAAAATATGTAACATACTATATTAGTTACACTATAACTTGACATAATCAGAAAAAATCAATGAACATTTTCTCTTCTTGTATTTGAAATATTTCTGACAGCAGATTAATCAGTCGAAACTATGTATTTAGTTTACTCCACTGAAAACTAATTGTAAAATGCTTCCACGTGATATAGTATTTAAAATTCTGTTATTTACATTCCTTTACAAAAGTTTTAAGATACGTCATTTTTTCCGATAATAATAAGGCGCCATTCACAAATATCTACGTGTGATTCATTTAGTTCGGAAAGAAATTAAAAAATTAAAACCTAAAGTTTAATTTGTTGCGGGAATGTGAGAGAGAGGGAGAGAGAGAGAGAGAGAAGAGAGAGAGGGAGAGAGAGAGGGGGGAGAGAGAGAGGGAGAGAGAGGGAGAGAGAGAGAGAGAGGGGGATAGAGAAAGCTTAATAACACTTCGCTATTGTTACCATCGTTGTCTTGATTTGTCAGGTCACCATATGTGGTATAAATATTGCATTTTAAAGCTAGTTAAAAATGATTTTTTTCATTAATTACATAATTTATAACTGAAGCTTTCATACGTAAATTAGAGAAAACAAACAGTAGAGTTCCTTCCTTAAACATGTTTTAGGTCTTAAGTAAATGTTACCTTACAGCCTCTACCGTAAAGGTCATTTCGGATGACTGTACCTAATTAGTTTCTAAGATTAGCCGCGTGCCCTGTTTTACTATCGACTGAATAATATACTAAACAAAGCTAAAACAATTGTTCTTGGTCGTTGTGATAGCGATAATTATTTTCGTTTCGCCGTGATTCACATCTCGATGATTCTGAATAACCATAGGAGTATGACCTAATTGTGAGATGACGTCATATTGGTTAAATCGACTTTTAAAGACATCCGATCATTTAATTAATAAAATATTATTTAGCTCCCATATATAATTACTACAACCTTCTAGTATTGAAGAAACGATCAATTCGTATTTCATTTCTTATACTGGGGTTCTTAGAACGTAACCATTTTCTAAGAACTAGTGTGGCTTCTTGCGAGACCGCAACAGCATCAAAACCTACAAACAATTCAAAACGCTGAAAAATTCCACTCCGGGTAGTATATTTTTAATTATTTTTTATAATGGTTGATACTCGAGCAGGTACTACTGTGTGTAGAACGCTGATTTTTTTTTACTGGCTCATCATATGAGGATCTTTCATCCGATGCCAGGCTATCGTTACGTTCTGGGACACCCTGGCTAATAGTTTCAAACATAAACCGTCACATACTTACTACGAATATTTTTATTCCTTTTTATACTGACGGACTCGGTAAGCAGACGTCTCGCCATAGAGATGGGCTAAATAGCAACAAAAAATATTGAAAAAAATTTAGTCTGATAATAAAAAAAATATCTAGATAGCAATATCAGCGCCAGCTCCAATTATGGCTAAGAAAAAAGAAGATTTAACAAAGAAAGGAGATTTGACAGATTAATTCACAAACAAATAAATTCAAATACAAATAAATCTTATTGAGTTTTATAAATAATATATTTAACTTCTCTACTTCATTAAATGAAATAAATATAAACAGTTCAAAATTAACTTATAAAGCTTAAACGTATTAACGAAAAAAGGATCAAGTGCGTCGGGTCACGCGCGATGTACGGTTCCGTAGTCACCTATCACAATCGCAATCGCCATCACAATAATTCGGATTAAAAAGAGGGCTATTTGTTGTTGCATGTTATGAACATTTAATGTTTACGATTTCGACGGCTCACAGTAACAAGTGCATTTTATAAGTTTCTTAATCGAAAAATAAGATCCTTTAATCGAAAAATTGTTTTTACAAATCTGCAATATATAACTTAAAGACCTATAAAAGGGTTGGCGAGAAAATAAAAAAAAATATCCCCAGATTAAGTGTAGAGGAGGTACCCTAAAAAAATTTCAAGATTTTATTTTACCAGTTTGTCGGCTTGACTAATATATACTTATATCCATGTCAAATTACAGCTTTGTAGTGCTAAGCGTCACTGAGTTCTGCTGCGGACAGACGGACGGACATGGCGTAAGTAAAAGGGTACCTTGTTGACTACAGAATCCTAAAAACAGTGTACCTCGCATCTTTTGTGATTTCTGTAAAATATACTACATAAAGAGGTGCGTGTGTAAAAACATTGAATGTGATATTGTAGCTTGTTATTTGTTAATTGAAGTAAAATTTTATATCGTAATGAACAAACAAGTATTTAATAATGATCATTATGAGACTGAGTTCGCAGAGATAATTTCATGATATTATTGCCAATGATATTATTGTCACTGCGAACGTTAACCAAATCAATGCAAAAGATTTAATTTTCAATTTCATTATTTGATTTAAAACAGAATATTCCTTTGGTCGACTGGAGTTATGAACGTTTTAATGCTATGTACCTACACTCGTAGATATGTGTACCTCCTTATGGTATAACTTAGTAAATTAAAAAGAGTTTTTATTTAAAAGTCTAATTAAAACAAGATTTGTTCAGGCGGAACCCTATTTCTAAATAGTGTGTCTGAACGTCGGTCTTTCTCTAAAGGGCTTTGGAATTGTAAAAAGTAGTCGAGTAAACGTTTCACATAATAATTTAATTCAAAATACGTTAATATAAACTTAAAAAAAAATAAAAAATGAATGGTCATTTATAAAGTTTTATTTTATATTTAAATATTATATAGCCCTATGCTATGGAACCCTCGTTGTGCGAGTCAAATTCACGTATGACTGATTTTCATTGTAAGATAATTTCGTTGGAAAAATAATAAAAAATAAATTTGAAATAATGTTTACATACTTATTTTATATTTTTAAAATAAAGCATGTCGAATTGTATATAGTTTTTTAATTCGACGGGCAAAGATTAATAATTTATTTATTTAAAAGTTCACAAAACCGACATACAGATAAATTAAACAACCTTAATTATAATTATTCTAAAGTATACAATCAGACAAAATGATGTCTTCTAAGATGTGAACATCACATGCAGAACTAAGTATTAACATTAAAAATATATACTGTTAAACAAGGCTAAATTAAATTAAATCTAATTATTATTGTATTATAACAAAACATTACATAAAATATAGCACAATCCGACTGAACTACTTTTGTTTTATGCTACTAAAGTAATATTTAAACATCTTTCTATAAATAAATAAGTTCTTAAGAAAAAAAATTTGAAAGATGACGACGTACGTATCGTTTTAAACTTACGCAGAGCTATATCACTTTTTCGTATACCCATATAGGTACCTACTAAGTTTTCAGGCTATTGAGACAAAATAACACCAATGAAAGTTTTAAATATAGTAAAATTTAATTATTAACTGTCAATTTTTGCCTATTTTCGTGTAATATTCAAAAAAAATACCGTAATGTTTTGTGTTCTTATTTACCAATTAATATTAATATAGGCGTGAAATTAGAAATATTTGTGTAACGTACCTATATAAATTTTATGGCTCCTTAGAAACTATATTGCTAATTTAATTATTTTTGCCCGATATTGTAACTATTTATAATGAAACGTGAATATTCAAAAGATTATAAAATTTCAAATTAAGAAATACCTTTTAAACGTAGGTACTTTCTTTACCGCCAAGCCGTTCTTTAAAATAAATCTAGACTTTGTATTGAATTTTTTCGGCATACCTCGTAGCGAAGGTTAAAAAAGACGTGAAAATTTCATTTACCTCTTTTCATTTAGAAGCTTCGTATCAGAATAATTGAGAGGGCTTGGAATAACTCCTACCAGTACTAATCTGGACTAGCTATAAAAATTTAGAAAATGAAAGGCTCTTATTTAAGTTAACATTTTTTAACATTTCGCAATATATGTACATATTTGACGACTCGTTTTGCTCAGTGTGTAGTGACCCTACTTGCTGTACCAGCGATCGCGGGTTCGAGTCCCGCTGGGGGCATTCATTGTGTGATGAGCACGAATGTTTGTACTCCAGTCATGGGTGTTTATATTTATAATGTGTATGTATTTAAAGTTTATATGTGTAGTGTATCAACTATCTGGTATCCATAACACAAGCCTCGTAGCTTACCACGGAACTAGATGGTGCTGTGTATTAATGTCCCAATATATAAAAAATAATAAATATAATTTGCCTTTAATTTGCCTTTAATTAGGTACTTCATACCTAATATGATTGTGAACAAGTTAATACACAATATGTCTTAAATGGTCCGTTTATTATATTACTCGTAGAGTTATATTTTCTATATAATAAAAGTAAAATAATTATAAATTTTAAAGATTAATGCCTTGGCGTATTTTTTGATTTTAAGATTATTTTGAGCGTTGGATGACGTGCAAAGAGCATATTCATGTTATGGAAAACAATACTTAACAATTTATACGGCAGTTCACATTTGGATGTTCCATCTGAAATAGATTTTTTACACGAAACAATGGAGCGATATTATAAAATATGATTTCAGTTTACAATGTCGGAAAGTGAAAAAATTTTTTACACTCATTAATTTAGCTGTTTTTATTAAATTGGAAGACCCTCACTTTATGCAGTATTGCGAGTGGAAATAATCTAAACTTTCCTTTTGAAAATTTGAAATTTGCATTGAATGCTTTAAAGTGCGTAAAAAATTCAATTGGCCGTCAGCTAATTGGAAGAAGTGAACGTATTGAAGATATTTTTGCTCCATGAATGAATGAGTGATCCGGTAGCCATTCGGTGGGTATCGGAAATTTAAATTCGAATGAGTGTCATCCGCGGTCGTCGAACCAGACTTGCTACTTGCCTTCATAAAATATTAAACACTCTATGTGATAACTAGATTTAAATGGGGCTCGAGCAAATGTCCACAGTTGTACCGTGCCTGTCGTCTGCAACGAAGTTGTTAGGTACTGTATTTTTAAAACGAATGCATTTATTAATTCATATAAATCAATTGAATGTAATAATTATGTCGTTTGGACAGATTTCATATATTTAGGTATATTGAAAACGAGTGCACGTCTATGTGAATAACGACTACAAAACTTAGACATCTAGATATATTTGCCTACGTTTACTCTAATATAACCCTAAAAATATAATTAGATCAAGTAACCGCCAAAGTGTTAATGTAATAAAATAATGTAAAAACATGAATCAGACACCGACAGTCAATATTACACAATACAAAAGCTTAGTTATCTCTTTCACAATTTGTCCAAACACACATCGGCTATTCTCATTTCTAGGCTCATTAAGCTAGTGCAAACACGTTATCTTATAGTTTTAATTTAAAACAACAAAGATAAGAAGTGGCATTTCACATGAATTAGAGACTTTAATGTTTGCGTCTCCATGGATTCGTGACCGTGGTTGTGTCAACAGTGTAACTTCGTAGGAACTCGAAACGCTTGCTTCTTGTAGTGGACAGCGATCTTGTTTTCAGAGTTAGACTTTTATTAAGTCGAGTTGAGTAATATTTAACTGATGATAACCATTTCCTACATAAACAAGAGTAAAATATATAACGCCTGATTCTATGCAATCATTGATACGCGAGTCCGACTTGCGCGTAGCGTTTTTTACAGTAAGTAGGTATAATTTATAGGTATGTCTTTAGCAGACTTTTTATTTTGACAGATCTTTTGTTTTTGATAATTAAAATATTTTTCTACTAAAAGATATAGAAAACTTTTACTAAGCAGTCTTCCACTGCGTCATTTGATCGCTTTATAGTTGCTTTTATTAAATATATCTTGTATTAAGATCCTCAATAACAATAGATACGCGTATTTGAATAATATGGCCGTAAGTCCGAGGATTATCAGTGGTTAAACAATGAGATAATACCCTTTTTAGTGTTTGATATAATCTAGGCCAGCCTTTGAAATGAGGATTTTTTCCAACGCCCTATAATTTTAAAGTTATCTTTGAGTTTTATAATAGAATTATAAAAGAAAAATCATGCACACATTGAACGTGTTATCATTTTTACTAACAAAGTAAGCCTACTTTCTTACTAGAAAATATTTGGCAAGTGTTCTAAGTGTTAATCTACATAGTTATTTTTATTTAGTATAAACTAAGTACCCTAATTTATTAATTTATACTGATATTTTAATAGTATATTCATAAAAATGAAAATCTTTTCATTGGTAAGGCATCAATTGAGAACGGCTTGATCGATTTGGCTAATTTTATATTGAATGTTTGTATAAGTCCATATTTAAAAAGTAATTAGGTAAAAAATGGATAAATGCTCAGCAAATGGTAACAATCAGGAAATCCGAAAGTGCCTATATAGATATTTAATTCAATTACTTAAAATGAAGTATTAATAGGTTACTATAGGTATGCTATCTTCCTTGGCCTAGATATTGGTTAATATCATCATTTCATCATTTCCAAGCTTAAAATACATATGTATAATTAATAAATAAAAAAGCTATGTTATTTATGAAACTAATAAAAAAA